GCCAGCAACCAGGCTGCACAAACAGGCAAAGCCCCATCCATGGGATGCAAGCAGCACACAAAACCATGCCCCTTCCAGTTGGCGGAAAAACCTCTCTCCACCGAACCGGTCCCTGGTGCCCAAAAGGTTGGGGACCTCTGCTTTAGCTTACAGATTAATGGCCTCAAAAGTTTGAAACCCCCTGATCTAGTCAAATTATTGGACCTAAAATGGTTTATTTACTGTATAAAAATAAAACAAACACTCAGTCCTGAATAGACAACCAATCCTGTAAAGAAAGCCTAAGGTCAGATTTCAGAATGGTGAACTTATACATGCTCAGCCAGCTGTTCCAATTCTAGGTACCTCATTAAAGGAAGACAGATGGCTATCAATAGCAGTAAATACTGTATGACAGACTTTGAATCGCTATATGCATACTTAATTTAGTAGGTAGATTAAGGATGCTTGGAGTGATGCTGCTGAATGTGTTGGAAATATGCACCGGTTTGGGAACCTAATTTTTGCTACAGAGGAGTATAGAGATTACCTTGAAAAAGGTATTTAACAGCTATCATAGAAACACCTGTTTGTGCCTGGGAAGGGAGGAGGGAGCAAAGGAAATTTAAGATTGCCTGGACTTGATGCTGTTTGATATAAGAGGGAAGAGAGAGAATGTTATTTTGAGCTTTCAAGATTCTGCAACAACGAAGTGCTTGCGGAATTTGTTTCTTAGCCAGACCTACTTCAAAACGCTGACATACACAGACCTAGCATCATTTCTCAATCTGCTTCACAAACTCTACATGCTCTCAGAAATGGCTTTCAGATTAATGGGATTTAGGAGGCAAATTGGCACAATTTCCATGAGATGGAGAGTAACTTGTTAAGCAAAACCAGCACTAAATTCAACCTATAATCCTACACTTTCTATGTTTACTCATGGGCATCACTGCAATCTTATAAAACTTACTAAGAAGAGCCATGGTGGTGCACTGGTTAGAATACAGTATTGCAGACTAATTCTGCTAACTGCCAGCAGTTTGATCCTGACCAGCTCAAGGTTGACTCAGGCTTCCATCTTTCTGAGGTTAGTAAAATGAGGACCCAGGTTGTTGGGGGCAATATGCTGACTATGTAAAACACTTGGAGAGGGCTGTAAAGCACTATGAAGCAATATACAAGTCTAAGTGCTATTGGTACTGCTATTCCTACCAAGATCTCATCTGACTCTTTAATGCTTGAACTTAAGAACTGCTGACACTGCCCTCATTATGTGGGGAACCAGCAAATTGTCCTTTTTCTCCCAAGAGTCCCTAGGGCAGGGGTCTGTAACCTTGACAACTCTAAGACTTGTGGACTTCAGCTCCCATAGCTGGCTGAGGAATTCTGGGAGCTGAAGTCCACAAGTCTTAAAGTTGTCAAGGTTACAGACCCCTGGCCTAGGGTTAGTCTTTAGAGGAAAGGAAGAAGAAATAGAAGCAAATGAAGGAAAGGAAAAGAGAAGGAAAACACTTGTTCTGGGTTTCTGTTAGGGAGCTACCTTTGGAAGACATGAGAGCAGTATGTTTGAGTGACAGATTATGGAAATCTGTAGATGTGTATTTATAAATGCATGAGTGTGTAAAGGTAAAAGAAAAGTGGGGGAGCATATGGCTAATCCAGAGAGAGAAAAATAATGGTTTTGTCGGTTGGTATGAGGAGAGAAGATGAGATTTGGTGTATTGACAGCATGACTGTAAGTATATTTTTAGATTTTGGGGAAGAATTACTTAGGAGAATGATTTAGGATTGTGCTACCAAGAGTAAATTACTACCATAGGGAATAGTGCTGCAGTAAAATCAAAACTTTCTATTCAAAATAATCTTTGCTTTGCTCTTTCTAATAAGAATCTCTTGGTATTTGTATGCACATCTACACTTCATGCTATATTAATGTTCCATCAGATGCATTCTCTGAATGGACAAATCCTTTCTCCCTATCACCTATGGCTGTTATAATGATGGATTTTGTTATAAATAAAAACTTTCTGTTGTTGTTGCTGACTCATTGGGTAAATTTGGCAGCCTGATCCTAAAACATACAGTCTTACTAAATTCAGCTGGAATTGCTTTTCCAAAGTAATGCTTAGGATTGCATAAAGCGAGGAGACTTGCTGTGACTTGAACAGTTAATTCATCTTACAGCTAAACTCTTTATATAGCCGCAGAATAACTTACCTTAACAAAACTGCATTTCTGCATTCCCACATTTTCTTAATATTTTATTCTTGTTCTTACAATAGATTGGAATCTTTAAGAAATTGACCTTCACTGTAACTTGCATACGTAACTCATAAAATGCATATACCTCTGGAGAGTGATGATAATGATGGCACAATGTGCTTTCTTGATTATACAGCAAGCTTCTTTCCCCTGTTCAGTTCCCAAAGGATATTGAAGGTTCCCCTTGTTCCACTTGCTTGATTGTAATAGGAAAGAAAGCCAATTTTATCTGAGCTTATGGCAGACCTGTTCAGCTGTACTTGTTGGCTAGCAGTAGTTAAAGTTTATTGCAACTCATGAAAAAGGTGGCATCAGATTTAAAATGGCTACTAAAAGGTTTTATCTGTTTCCAGAATATACAGCTAAAGGGATTTAAATTATTTAAAAGAAACAGACCTAATAAAAGAGGAGATGGAGTTGCGCTATATATAAAAAATAACTATCTCTCTACAGAAATACAACAAACTAATGATGAAAACCATCCTGAATGCATTTGGGTCAATATAAAAATGAATGACATTGCCATAGGTGTATACTAAGGCCATCCAACCAAACAGAAGAAATAGATTAACTTTTTGCTAGTCCATTAGCTAAGATATGTAGGAAACACACCACAATAGTAATGGGGGACTTTAATTATCCTGACATGAACTGGGAGACAAACTCTGCACCTAGTGGAAAGATCAAACAGATTCCTGACAAATTTAGCAGAAAACTTTATGTCCTGCAATTTAGGGAAGGGAACTAGAGGGTCAGCCATACTGGACTTAATTCTCACTAGCAGAGATGAAATGATAGAAGGCATTGAAATAACAGGAAAATTGGGAGAGGGGGGAGTGACTGTGCAATAATTGAATTCAACATTAGGCAAACTCAAGCAATGGAACGAAGTCAAACTAGAGTCTTGGACTTCAAGAGAGCTGATTTCAATAAACTTAGAGCTTGAGAAGGATTCCATGGATGACAGTCCTCAGGGAGAAAACAACCCAATAAGCTCGGGAAGCTTTGAAAAGTGAGATTAGCACAATTCCAATGAAGAAGAAAAATAAGAGATCTCAAAAGAAAGCAGCATGGCTGCACAAAGAACTCTAATAAACTGAAAGACAAAAAGGACAAGTATGAAAAGTGGAAAGAGGAGCACATAACTAAGGAAGAATATCAGCGAATAGCCCAAATTTGCAAAGATGAAGTCAGAAAAGCTAAGACCCCAAATGAACTAAGGCTTGCTACAAAAGTCAAAAATAACAAAAAAAAAACCCTTCTTTCTATATGTAAAAAAAAACAAGAAAAAGTCAAGAAAACGATTGTCCATTAATCGGAGAAAATGGCAAGAAGGTGATGAGCAGCAGGGGGAAAGCAAAACTTTTAAACTCATTTTTTGCATCTGTCTTTACATTAAAGGAAAAAACAGACCAACCAACCTATCCCCCCAAAAATACTGTAAAATGCAGGTTAGGAATGCAAGTCAAAATAAGCAAGAAAATAGTAAGAGAAGACCTATCTATTCTAGATGAGTTCAGATCACCAGGACCAGATGGATTACACCCCAAAGTTTTGAAGGAATTGGAAGATGAGATCTCAGAACCATTGAACCATATTTTTCAAAGATTCTGGAGCACCAAGGAACTACCAGAGGACTGGAAAAGAGCTGATGTACTTCCCATCTTCAAAAAAGAAAAAAAATGGATCCAGGAAACTACAGAAAGATTCTGGAAAAGATAATCAAGCAACAAATCTGTGAACACCTAGAGGCAAACAAAGTCATTACCAAAAGCCAACATGGGATTGTCAAAAACAGATCATGCCAGATAAATCTTACTACATTCTTTGACAAAGTGATAAAATTAGTGGACCAGCAAAATGCTGTGGATATAATTTACTTGGACTTCCATAAGGTATTTGATAAAGTTGACCACAACATACTACTGTCAAGAATGAAACTTTGGCAGCTACATGCCTTTTCATTTCAACTTGCCATTAAAGTAAGGGGGGAGGTCTTGCTTTAGAATTGGTTAGAGGGAGAAACAAAACCTCTACGATTCTGCTGAAGACCATGAGAGCCTAAAACCTTTCCAAGGACACTGCAGCAGGTGTGGAAAGGAAGCAGATGGTTCCCATAACAAAGTGAAATTGTTTACATGGACTATGTGAGAGGGTGGGGGTTTGGCCAGATAAATTATTGTTTAATTCTATGAACTGCTGTCTGGGAACCTCATAGTTAGCTTTGCTTCGACTATACCGTGTCCTGTATTCAACAAACAGCAAGATTTTTTGGAAATGGAATGAACCTGGAGTTTTATTTGGATTCAGGAGCTGGATGTTGACAACTACTTGATAAGATATAAAAATGTGGGTTAAACAGCATCACCACCAGATGGATTGACCAGCTACACTCATTATTAATGGAACTGCATCTATATGGAGGGCTGAAGAAACTTCTTGGATGAGAAGCAAAATGTCTTCAAAGAAATCAAGAAAGTCTTGAAAAAGCACCTTTGGGACATGGAGAGAAGTACCTTGCCAGGAAAATGGCAGGGACTAATTCAGGCTGTCGTCAGAAATCAAGATTAACTCAAAGGCACACTTGCATGGAAAAACCTCTAGGAAGATCAGTTTTGTCTATTTGACTGACCACAAGAGATTAAGAACCAATCCCTGATACTGATCACTGAGCTGACCTCTCTTCTTTTCTTACCATTGAAGGAAGAGTGGAATCTTTGTAATCTCCAATCCTTGCAGGCAGTTAGAAGAATACCATGGCTGATGATAGTGGAGGTACTAGAAGATCTGAAAGAACCAGCAAGGGTCATCCACCAGAGCAAACCATATCTGTCCTATATCCAGGTCTGAACCCTGGCTGAAAGGAATCCAGACCTGCTTTTATTATGAAGCACTGTAGCTGATTTGCTACACATCTCAACAATTTCACCTAACAAGGAAAAAGTGGACATACTGCATCATGTGAACAAAGATCCAGCATTATCAGGGTTAAGGAAGAGAGCTTCTAGGCTGTGCAAATTTCAGCATTTTTGTAATAATCTTATATTGATCAACAACTGCTGTATGATTAGAGACAACACTTCAGTGCCTTTGGCTATGCTGACTGTTAGCCTTAACCTCCACACACCTGCAGGGACTACTCAGGAGAAAGCTGCTCTAGGATCCCAAACTAAACTTTACAGCCCATTGCCAAATATTGCTTGCTTAAACATTTAAACAAGAGTTTCAAGAAGGATGCTCTAAATTAATAATCACAGTGAACAGAGTTGCAACAATTGAAGAAAAAAAAAGATGGCATTAGATTCTCTTCTGAGGTCAGCCATGGTTCCTGATTGCCTGTCTGGGTGATTTCAGTCATACGCCTTTTTCATCAGGATGTGGTAACAAATCAGAACCAATATACTGCTCCTTGAAAGCAATGCTAAATTAATGCTAACTTGATACTTAGTTGACAGAGCAGGTCCTGCCTCTTAATTCAAAGCTCGGCTTAAAAATCAGCATTTAGAATGTTTGGTTTTAACACTTTACAATTTTTTTTCTTTTGCTCATCTCAGTCCTCTGTGATTCATAAAAAGTATCGCTGGAGGAACATAAATACAAATGGATGTCTTTAAAACAACTATGCTATTTATTCCAAGCCCTTTTTCTCCAAGAACTGAATTTGAAACTTGAAAATGGCTTCTTATGATAATAAATCAGAAAAATATTATAGTAGAAATAGGCCAATACAGGATCATTTTGTGAGATGGTAAAATATGTTTTAGATGTATTTAAGCTGCATTGTGTCATTTCCACGAATAGCATCCATTTGTCTAACTCACTGTGGCTGTGACTGGCTAAAGTTTACTGTCATTTAGTGGAAAGCATTAGAAGAATAGAAAGTTTGTTCTGTTATAAATGCTAGGAAGCGTATTTGTAATGAGTGAATGAATGAATGAGTAAAGGGTATAAGAGTTAGCAGTAATAATTATATATTTGCTTTTTTGTGTGTGTGCATGTGACAATGTCTGTTTCTGCCACTATATATATCAGGAAGTAAATAATGTTTTTATATAAAGATGTAAAGATGTATAATTTCCAATCTTAACCACAAGTATAAACAGGTTTGGTAACTTTTCATTCCTGATAAGGTGACAAACAAATATTTCTTCTGTTTTATAGGTAGGAGAGGGGTTATAGTTATAATCCTTATCTATAAGCAAAATTTATGACCTCAGCTTTTCAGTCCTCATGTCAGCAAAAAATTCATAAAGGTTTTCTAAAATTTCATAAAAGCACATCTCATTTTAATCCTGAGCTTATAACAGTCTTAATTTTTAATTACTTCAAATGTTGACTTAGGGTTTGATTATGTTTGATTCTTTTTTATCCCATTGCACAGACTTCTTCAAGGGTTTAACAAGTCTCTTTTGTAGATCCAGTAAGAAAACATTTTCTGAGTCATTCTCTTAATTTGTCATCTGTAATTCCCTTTTAATTTTTAAAACATCAGCCTGTTTCTTTTGTATATCCAAGAATCTCTTTCCAAATAATTGTAATTCTACAATGCAGTTAGAAAGCATGCAAATGCAAGTATGGATAAATAGGTACCACTTGGGTGGGAAGGTAACAACGTTCCGTGCACCTTGGCATATAGTCATGCTGGCCACATGACCACAGAAGCATCTTCTGACAACTTGGGCTCCCTTTGGCTAGGAAATGGAGACGAGCACTATTCTCTAGAGTCGGATACGGCTGGACACAGGAAACCTGTATTTTTATCCTTTTTAATATGGTAAGGTTATGTGAAAGCTAGCTAAGGTTAAAACTAGTCAAGATTAGCATTTTAGATAAATGCAGCCCACAGGCTTTTAACTGCTGAGGTTAAACAGATCATGTGAAAACAACCCAATTACAAGGTGTTCTTTTTAGGAGCAGAACCCATAGTAGCTGACTGAATGGCACTGATTAAAATATCTTACTGACACCATTTGAAACAGCAGTTTCATCTGGCAGAAACTTGTATTAGAATCATTGCAACCTCCCCCCCCCCACACACACACACTATGCAGTTTGATTCTTGGCTACACTGGCTATGTTTTATCTATTATAAAAATGTACAATAATATCAATTCATTATTTAATATCATAGAGATTTGGGAGATTAATGTGAGAAATTTGCTAAGGATTAGAAAAAGATCTCTGCCTTTGGTGATCTAATAGTGAATATAAAGGTGTTCAGAAAGATTGTAAAAAATATCTACTGTGGAGCCTGTTGGTTTTATCTGGTATTTACTTATGTGTATAATATGCAGACAATTGAAATTTTGGCTTTATTCGTATATTGAAGTACAAGTTGCATCTTATTAGGACTAATCAGCATATGATACAATTTAGTATTTTTTAACCTTAATCCTTTTCAGATATATTAGACTTCAGCTGGTCAGTTGGAATTAAGAAAGTAGCAGTCCAACATCTATCATCCCACCCATCCCATCCCATTATTGGTGGAAATAGTCTTTTGACAGAATGGACTACTCAATTAATGCCTGTAATAATCAGGTTTAATTCATATTTTTCTATTTTCTTCCTTCATAACCCATTTCTTAATATGGGGTAAGAAGTCAAGGAAAGCAATTGAGGAAGTTCACCCAAAAAAAAAAAATGGAAAGTATGGATTAATCCACAGATTACACCAGATAATATACTGCATCTGTACACTTACAGATCTCAAGACATAAAGGTTGTTTTTAAGGAATATTTTAAATTGGGCTCCAATATTTTTGAAAGGTACTAGGTTAGGGAAAGCCAATGTAGATACGAGGGCAATTCAGAAATAAACCTCCATTTGGTTATCAATGGCAGACACTTGCAGATATAGAACTTGTATTATACACATTAGAAAACTACAACATTGCATTACTTTTCGACATAATCACCATTCAAATTGAGGCATTTGTCATAATGTCACAAGGTTTGAAATTCCTTCTGCAAAAAAATCTTCCGCCTGGGAATGAAGTCACCCTGTAACAGCATTGTGAAGCACACTGTCATCATCGAAATGGTGTAATGCAAGCCACTGTTTCATTTAAAAAACTGGTTCATTTTCAATTGATCTAGTGGACGAGTCAATTGCAACACAACCTTCTCCTTCCACTCCTCACTGCCTACTGAATTACTCCACATGGTGCCATAGAACGGGCATTGCTATCCCCGCCTATTTCCTGCACATGCTCAAATGGAGGTTTACTTCCGAATTGCCCTCGTATTAGGCTTGGAATTATAAAATTATACAGCGATGAGAGTTGATAATTTTCATAAATATGATATCCTTATTAAATAAAAAAATGTAAGATGCAAATGCATCCTGTATAACAAGAGGAATCATATTACTGGCTCTATTCAGTGGTGCTAGGGTCAAAATAGCGGGTGCTCTGCCATATAGAACTGAAGTTCAAAGGTTGAAATGANCATGCTACAGTTCTTTTTGTGCCTGCAGAAGGAAGGGAAAGAGAAAAATGCTTGCATCAGTTGGCTTCCTCTAGGAATGCTGGAGAAATCTATCACATTTCTTTTTAGGCAGCATGTTGTGCTCTGCCAAAACAGAAACTTCACTGAATGAATAAAACCTTTGATATCTATTTTGAGATACTCATTTGGCCCCAAATTGCATAAAAATGCATATGAGTGAAAAACTTGCACATAATAAAATACTAGAGAAAATTGCATGCAGGATACATGCCAGATGGGTTTAATAGTGAAAATTGCAAGATTTGGGGCATTTACTTTCCATGAAAAATGCAGTGTTTTGACAGAATGGACTAGTTAATTAATGCCTGTAGTAATCAGATTTAATTCATACCTTTCTATTTTCTTTCTTCATAACCCATTTCCTAATATGGGGTAAGAAGTCAAGAATAGCAACTGAGGAAGTTCACTAAAATAATGGAAAGTATGGATTAATCCACAGACATACCAGATAATATATTGCATCCCCACGCTTACAGATCTCAAGATATAAAGGTTGTTTTTGAGAAGAATAACTTACATGAATAACATATATAACTACTGACAACAACTCAGCCACCACTGTTACTGATCCAAAATTTCATCTTCCTGTAGCCACAGGGACCGTTTTTTCAAGAAACTATATATCACATGTGTAGAGAATCATTTTCTGGTTTGTTTCAAGTTTCTGTTGCCTTTCCTCCCAGGTGTATATCTGTGTGAGATAATTCATGAGTCTATGAATTTTTGTGTGCATTAACCTTTGACTTAGGGTTTTACATCTACCTGCATAAAAAGTTAACTCTGGTAATGCATGACCTGCATTTTGATGTGTTAGCATGTTTTAATTTGCTTTAAGGATGAATAAAGCCCTTGCTGTGGATTAATAATTTCATAATCTTTTCATTTGGTATGGAAGCTGCATTTTGTCATTGATTGAGATATCTACAGTTTACTTGAGTGCTTTTTCGTGATTGAGCTATGCTCATGAAATTAATGAGGGGGAGTAATGATAATGAGAAGTACACCACAACCATTTCTCAGTAGTTCTTCTGCCAAATTAATACTGTATCTATACTCAAGGCTCAACATTTAAGCATTATTGGTCCTGTGGATGTATGTATTCTTGTGGTCAGCTCTTTAAAGGTATAACTAAACACTTTCTGTGGGTTTCTTGTGCGGCTTTGCATATTTTATTTCAAATACAAAACTATACAGTGATTAAGGACTTGACATATGTATTTACACAATCCGATTCCCTGCCATCTGAAGGTCATAGCTAAAATATGTTACTGAGTTATACAGTTATATTGTTCCTTAACTTTCTGTAAAGGACAAGATCTTACTTTGGAAGTTGC